AGGTGTATATTAGCATATTGATTTGTATGGGAAGAAAGAGGGAACCTTTATCCTAAGGTTGCAAATGTAAAACAAGATTTTAAGAATTGTGTGGGAAATATTAAACAGTGGCAAATACATGTAAGATAAGAAAAAGGTGCAAAATAATATGTAACTTCAGACTTGACCCTTACTAAATTTAAATGGTATTTTTGGAACTGAGCAATAAGAAAAATATTTTAATAATTAGAAAACTTTCTTAGTGTAATACCATAAACTTATCTTTTGATATTAAATCAGTGATTTAGTAACAGGTGATCACAGCAAAGTCAAAAGGTCAGTGCAATATGTTTGAAAAAAATAATTCTATAAAAAAAATTAGCAAAATCAAATTAGTTTGATTCTATAATAAGAACAGTTAAGTCTACAGGGTGTCTGAAAAATCTGAAACCATAGGCACTTCAACAAATTTTACAGAATGTGTTCAACATGCTGTCCTTTCAATTCGAAACAAGTTTGGATTAACAGCTGGATTGACTCGAGCTTCTCATGTTTTGACAGTGCCATAATCAGTCATGTATCTGAAATTAAGAAAAGTTACAAATCATCTATGGTTCCAGACTTTTTGGACACCCTGTAGTTAGCCGAGTTGCCTTGGAAAATTATATTACATAACACAAAAGTGAAATATAATATTTCATTACGAACACAATTATCTTTTTTTTTGGAAATTAAAATAATTAGCTTTAATTTTTGTAAAGGAAAAAAAAGAATATTGAAGACTACCTGATGTCTTTCTTGGTGTTGGTCTGTGGATTACCTGAGCAGTTGATAGAGTTATTTTTGCATCACCACTTTCTAAAAAAATTAAAAGTATAATAATTATATTACAAATTTTTCTTTTCATCAAAGGTAAAATGAAAATATAATTTCTATGGTGAGTTAAAAAGGACTCAAAAAACTCCATAAAAGTTTGTATATTTTTAACGGATTCTTTTACTGTTTTTGATACTTCAAACCTCAAAAAAGATTGGGAGTTAACAACAATCACTGACCATTTTTCTTGACTTCAGTACTCAAAAATATTTTTGATAATGGTGACTGCAGATTAATCAGGTCTAAAACAATTACATTTCAAAATCAATCATTAGCCACTGAAGTCATCAAGCTAAAAAATAGTGACATGTGAAGTTATATCTTATAAATACTCAATATAATTTTATTTCAAATTAGAAACTAGATTTTTCATATTTCATCTACTCAGAAGAATTAACGTTGACTACTTCTAAGATTAGCTTTATTATCTCACAGTCTAAGCTACTAAAGTATACAACCAATATGATACTATTCCATCTCTTTCTAAACCATTAAAATTGTTCACCTACCAGTAACATAGCTTTGCTCATGCTGATGTAGGGTATGAAAACAGATAACTTAGCTATGTTATTAATTGGTTTATCTAGATTTCATCTACTAAAGTAAGTAGCCTATCTACTTTCTAGCTTGTCTTATCTAGGCCTGATCTATTAAAGTATATAACCAACATACATTATTACTTGACTTATATAGGTCTGATATATCACCTATTTTATTACTTGGCTTATCTAGGCCTGATCTATTAAAGTATATATATATAAAAACAAGTATGTTATAGGTCAAACCATTAAGGAGTTAATATATATATAATTGTGGATACAACATTTTGGGCAATGCTCTTCTTCAGGTATCACTAACTGAACAGTAAATCCATAAACGAAAACATTCTAAATCGAAGGTGACGTGACAATGTAACAAATATACAAACATTTGAAACAATAGAAAGTGATAAATATATATATATATATATACACACACACAAGTGTGTGCACACACATATCTATACATACATATATTTATATATACACAGATACACCCAAATATATACACACAAATGATTATACAAATACATACATATATACACATATACACACACACAGATATATGAATATATATGTATGATAGTTTAAAAAGAATAGATAAATAATTTACTGTATAAAACTTTTTAAGAAAGGATAAAACTAAAAGGGGAAATATTACAAAAAGCTAAAATATTCATTTAGCCCATTTGGGTGGAAAGTTCCCAGGTCTAAAATTATTTTTTCTTGTACTTTGTGGTTATGTTTGTTTGTAGGGGCCTTTCCTATACACTATTAAAGTATATAACCAAGATACATTATTACTTGACTTACATAGGTCTGATATATTAATGTAGAAAACCACCTATTTTATTATTTGGCTTATATAGGTCTATTCTATTCAGGTAGATAGCCAAGCTATGTTTTTATTTGGCTTATTTATCTTTCATCTGTTAAAGTAGCTGTAATAATTTCCATTGGTGGGCAAGTTCTTTTTGGCTTATTTGGTAAACTGCAGAATGTAAAGTCCGGTCCACTTCATGATAAAATCATTTTATTTCTTTGACTATAAGTTCTACAGTTACAACTTCTAAAAGTTTTCCATAACTAAAAACTGGCCTAACTTAACATATAACTACTCACAGTCCTATTATTTCACTGTAAACACCAACTAAAAATTTAAAGTACTGAACTAATAAGTAATGAATTAACCATTGTAACAGACTCGCTAATCAAGCAACAATCTCTCCTAATCTTGCCTAACATGCATTTTATACTGTTCAAAACGTTTCTTAAACTTTCAAGAAAATTCCAGATGTTAAGTAATACACTCATCACATGACATAACACAACTATGGGAAAACAACAACACAAATGTTTGAATCATAAAACAATGGATAACACAGTTATGTTTCTTACTTTAATTATCTATGTCTTATCTGTTAAAGCTATAAGTGATTTTGTTACTTAAGCAAGGCGATAATGGTATGTAACCTACCTAAATGGTTACTTTGCTTTTCCTGATCTGAATTGTAAGGAATAGGTTGACCATCAGGAGAAAGTCTAAGAGCAACTGGATGTAGTATTTTAGGATCCTAAGTAAAAGAAAAAAGTAGTTGTATAAAAAACAAAAAACTATGCAGCAAAACTCTTCAAATATTTACTAATGAGTTAAAAATTAACAAAAAATAAAAATAAATACTTTTAGTAACCACTGATCATACTACACCAAGAGAGACTGTTTACCATGTACTCAGCATTAAACATAGGTCAGCCATGTAGCTGGGTATGTAAAAAAACAAGCAATATCACTACGTATATATGTGTGTGCACAGTGATGAGCATGATGTAGGTAACATAAGTACATGAACACATAAAACTTGAACAAAGTAGTGTATTTTCAGTGAGAAATTGTATGATATAAAGAAATTTCTAAATATAAGTTAAGGAATTGTTTTTTGTGATCAAAACGTTTTGAATTGGAAAGGGTGGCAGTTAATGGTTATTAAGAGCATTATGATTTCATGAGTACTATATCTAGTGATACTTTTCTCCACTATGTTCATTTACCACAAAATAACAGCAGAACAAAAGAGATGAAGTTATCCTTCCATTCAATAAATATTGGGTCCAATTCCTTTGTAGGTTTCAAACAGTGAAATGAAGCTTCCAAATGACAAGAAATTATTACTCAAGCATTGAAATTTAGAAATTTATTCTTATATAAACCACACTGTAATATATTCAAAAATTGCTCTAAAAGTTTAAATGCTTATTTGGAAGTTTTCTTCACAAATATAAATCAATTACTCGTTTGCAATAAGGACTTGAACATCAAATTCATTAAAAAATAACAAACAGAGCAACACACCTATAACTATTGCTTAAATCTAGCTCACATACTTCAAATTTGTATCAAGTACACCAAAATTCACTTAATTTGTTCAGCATTTTTTAAGTGTCAGTAATATCATTCTTATTTTGCAAAAAAGCATTAAATGTATCCTTTCTTGCAGTCAATAAAAGCAAGGATGTGGAATGGCACTGTAATGTATCAATTTGTATAAGCAGCTTTGTTTTAAAAGTAACTGACATGTACAGCTATAACAAGTATACAATTGATGTACTTGGACCTCATTAATGAAGCCTATTTTTAACCAAAATGTTTAACTAAGTTTTACTGGTTATAAGTACACTTTAATCATGCAACTTAATTTAAAAATACACATTCTATATGTTAGGGATTTCAATCAGAACCTCTTTTTGAAGACAATTTCAGGCTTTAAAAAATACTAAGTCAAGCTGCATGGAATAACTTAACTAAATACGATAATAAAAACACACTTATAGTCAACTTATAGGGTTTATTTTAAAGTTCAATAATATTAAACACTTAGACTTCATAAAAAGGTTCAGTAATTATCTTTTCTTATGTTTTAAGTATCTGTTTATAAATACTAATGTAGCAAAAATACTTGAGGTATTAAAATTAATTTCTTCCCAAGATTCAATCATCATGTGTGAGATAAATTATAAACAAAACAATTAAACAAAAAAAATTAATACATAAAAACATTAAATAATTATTTACTTATTCAGAATACTGTTATGTGTATTTAGTTAATAAAATGACCAGCACGTGTAAAGTTGAGTAACAGAGCCAAGAGAAAAGTTCCATTTAATATTTTTTATTTCATGTTTTCCCGTGGACTGATTACTTCAATAGATTACATCACTATAAGAATATTTTTCAAATAATTATCTCACTGTATGAATTAATCACCCACCAAAGGGACATACAGGAAATAAAAAAGCCTAATAAAAACACATAATGATTTGGGTGCATAAAAGTAAAGAGAACTTAACCCACACTTTCTGAGTGTCATCTAAAAGTTGTATGTACAACACTGGGATAAAGAGGAAAGTATTTATCTACTCTTATTAATAAAATACAACTGTGAAAATTTCCAAATATTTTCTGAATCAACCTGTTCTACTGATGCAGCAGAGAAGTCAAAATTCACTGGTTTCATAACAGGAGAGGAGACTGAACTTGTTGGAGAGTCGTTAAACTTGGTCCACTGAAAAAAATAAAGTCTCAATTTAGAAAATGAATTACACAGCACATACACCAAAAGCACTTGTACATAGATAAAACCTAGAACTCAAAACAATCAAACTTTAACTAAACCAACAAAAAAGTAAATTAATTTCTGTTATGTTAATTTAATTATAAGCATATTAATTCATTAAAAACAAAATTCAAAATACTGAGAAAAGCCTACTACAATGTTTAGTCTTAGCTAATAAGCAAGCATAAAAAAAAACTCAACAATTAAATATATTTTTGGTAGAAAGTAAAGAAACATGAAGTGATCGTGTCCTCTGAAATCAAAATATGGAGCACACCAAATTTTTCTAATAGCGGTCTGTTTGTATGTTTTGAAGCACAAAGCTGCAAAATGTACTAATTTGATGTGCCCACCATAAGGATCAAATTCAGAATACTAGCTTTATAAGCCCTCAAGCTAATATTGGAGAAACTCACATAAAACCTTTCTTTGACTTTTCTAAGCAGTGTATTTCAAATAAACCAAAAAAAAAATAAATAGTAAACTATTTCTTATAATGTTTATAACTTAATTTTAAACCTATTATTACATGGTTCATACAGACCTGGCAATTTTTTTCCCAGGATGTTTTCAGATTTTCAAGAAGTATTTTTGCAGAAATTATTTCATTTCTTACTTTAAAACGTTAATTAAGAATTGTAAAGAAACTAATCATAAGGACACACCAGTACTTTTACTCTCAGGCTATAAGTTGATATGACCGTTCATACTGTATCTAAATTGAACTTATTCCTTTTACATGCAATTTCATATCATAACCTAGGTCCTTTTATGATGTAATGTTGGTTGTATTTGCATTCTTGTATCTTTTATGACTTAAGATTTACTTTGTTAATCACTGATTTAGAAAAACAATATCACAACTGTGATAATATTGGAGGTAAATGAGTTACAATTTTAAACTTTTAATATAAATATTGATACGGTCTTGTTTTCTAGTAATATTAAAAGTATATATGGTGCTGATTTTAATCATTATGAAACCAATTATATAGTCATGCTTTAAAGCACATAAATAAACTGCCAATTTTTCAAACATATATCAGGTTATCTTGGAAAATAGTATATATATATATATATTTATATATACCTTTTTCAGGTATTCAAGTTCTGATTTAAATTTATTCTCTAACACTGAAATCTCACTGGTCTCTTCCTTTTCTGTTCTTCTCAATGAGTTGGCTTGAGTAACAAATTGTTATCTTTCCAGTACATATAGTTTATCAGCATTCTTATTTATAAACTCAATATCACTATATATCATTTCTTTCTTTTCATCAATACTCTCAAGATAGTTTTTCTCTTCTTTAGTGTATTTTTTTATTCTTTCCTCTCCTGTTTTAGGTAGTATCTCTCATAGATTTGTCAAGACATTCTGGTTGAAAGTAATCAATCCTTGTCAATTCCAACATTCAAAATTCCATTTACATGATACACATAATTGCAAAAAATTCTCTGTGCATTAATGTTTAATGTTTCATATCCTCAACCTCCATCTCCTTGTTGATGCTAAATCCTCTTTCCACTGTGGCCTGGCCATAGTTACAGTACTAGAACTTTCATAGTTCTGCACAGTTTTGGGCAGACATGCACTTTTAAAACAATTCATCTACACCATGTTCATCTGTAAAGTTGAAATTAAGAAAACCTGCTTGTTCCACACACTGGAATATTGTCCAAAACATAATGTACTGCTGCAACAGAATGTCACAGTATTTTTCTTCAAATATTTCAGTATTCAACAGCAAGGTGAGTATCTTCTGAAACTTTTCTGTACACCCCTCTTATAATCTGAGGTCATTTGATTTGGATTCAAACATGACAAACGTCTTACCAATAAATAAGACATAGGGCATTTCATTAATATCTTCTTCAGCAGCTGTATTACGAATGTTTTAAACTCCATTCTGAACTACTTTACTTGTAATGCCTTCTCAGTTGAGGAACCAATATAAACCTTTTTGCAGTCCAACTGACAATGCTAACTGCATCAATTCTGATCAGTTCATCATCTGTCACCTGCAACATGTTACTTTTAATAAACCACCACACCAAATGAGTGCTTTTATGACCAAACACAGATCATCACTTAAAAAAAATAACACTGATCCTTTGGTCTGGTTCTTTGTGAGGAAAGCTGCAGTGTGATACACTTTAAGAAGTGTAACTCGGATACAAAGCAATCATCTCTGATGCATTCACTGACTACTGAATATGACTCATTGCCAGGTTCTGGAAGTTTTCTTAATTTACAGCCTCCAACATTTTATCTCAAATTATCAGGGCTCTCTCATACACTGGCCCATTCTCAAACCATCTGTGATGGACAGATTTAAGCAGCATCATGAACTACTAGTTATCTTCACAAAGTCCTCCCTTCTTACTGGCAAATCTACGTAGAGGCTCGAGAGAAAGGATAATACATATCTGCCATTTACTAGCATTGGTGTCTGTCTTGAAACTGTTGTAAATCACATGTAATCAACAAGATTCAATGTTGATTAAACAAGAATCACAGTCATCCAAAACCTTCATGATGTTGTAGAATTTTCAGTTGACATATTCATCTGTATCATGTCCAACATACAATGACTGAAATGTTCCACCATGTTGTAAATGCATGGCCTGCAAAATAGACAATTTTGTTTTCAAAAATTATAATTATGTGATTTTTCAGTTTATCAAAATTCTGCTAGTGTTACTCACAGTGTTCATAGTTCAGTAAATGTGTGCAGTATGCACCATAACAAAAAATAATTACAATTCTAAGTTTATTTTTACATGTATTTTTTATATACTGTAATTTTAACTATTTTATACATGTATTAGTATTAGAGATTATTAATATCATTATTACTAAAATTAACAATAATAATAATAATGAAGAATTACTTACCGAGGAAATCACTTGAAAAGTATCTACTTTTTGACAAGTCTCATTCCTAATTCTTATGATCATTTTTTTAAAATTTCCATTGATTAAAATCACAAACGGACCTGTGAGATTCTTTTTTTTCAGTAACTTTCTAAAATGTTCAGCCACGCCAACTATGCTGCCTTTCTCTTTCTTCACAGGTAAATTGCTTTGCTATATGCTGTCAAGAAACCGAACAATTTACTTGTACCTTCTGGTGATTTGATATGTTTCAATATCCAAGGTATTTCAGTTTTAAAATCATCATCTTTCGTAACACAATGTTCAACATAAAGTGTGTTATTGCCACTTGGAAAGGTGTACAGAGAAACCAGTATGTGCTACAACCAAGTCTGTCTGTTCTTCTCCATCTTTGTTGTAGATGTAACAAAAAATATTTTATTGTCTCTCTACATCAGTTTTATTTCAATTATGCTTGTGTTTTTCCCTTTCAAATGTGTTTTCAGCACACACTCTACTATGTTGGATATGTCAACTAACTTGTCACATTCAGTGAAACTTGTCTTTTTCTTGAATGCTTTAATCAATTTGCTATACTATTTCAATATCCTATTTCAAATTGTAGACCACTTTCCCTTATTTCTAATTGTTTATATGTTTACACACTGATAAACTTACTATTTTAACACTAATGCCACCCACAGCCAGTGATTTTATTAAGAACCAAATGCCAGCTTAAATGATCACTTCGACCAATTCATCTGGTTCACATTTCTTCTGTAAATTTGCAATTGTGTACTATTAAAGTCATGAAACTATCCTCTTTATCATGAAAATGAAGACAGTTTGTTACACTGTATGTCAACAATGTTTTTTTTTGTAGTGGAACATTCTAGAAGCATAAAGAAAAGACAATATACATTTTTGCTCTATTAAAAAATGTTGCAAATGTATATGTAAAGAAAACTGTCATTAAATCCACTGCACATGAGCTTTTTCATCATTTTCACCCTAACGATTGAGATCCATGACAGATATATTTTTTGAAATATTAAAATAAGAATTTTTCTCCAAGGGTGGATGATTTTGACAATTTTGGATGGTCTGATTCTAAGTATAATTAAGCATTATATTCTGGGGATGGGGGGAGTTGGTGAGTTTCAAATGATTAATGCATTAAGTTTGATTGTAAGCTGAAGTATTCATCAGTATTCTTCATTTCTGAACTAGTGCTACAATTTTACATAATAATTAAGCACTGAAAAGTTTCAAATGCACATTTATATGCCATAGACAAAATAAACCTTGAACAAACTGGTATTAATATCTTAAATTTTTTCAGGATATTGTTAGCAGTGTATATAGTAAGTGTGCATCATAGTAAGTTAACAACTGATACAAAAATTCACTAATGAATGATTTTAATTGAAAAACAAAAGGCGTGTATATAAAAAGTGTGCATTACAGTAAATTAACCATGGCTGCAAAAATGTACTGACTACAGATCTTTATTGAGAAGAAGTTTCATCGAAATTTTACATTCCGATATTCCCGAGGAATTTAACTTTGCTTGAGAAATTTCATCTTTTTAGTTGGCTTTCCCGAACGGGAATGCACAGTCCATCCATACTCCTTTAGTTATGACCAATGAAAGTAAACATATTGCATGGATTAAGTAAAAAAAAAGATTCCTTTTAAGAAATGCAACTTTACATGAGGGAATGTAATCTTCCTGATAGTCTTCCCTAAGTTAATGTAATTTAATTTCATTATTTATATTCCTAGAATAAATTTTAAAAGTAGACCATTTTTATTTATAGGAGACATTTAACGGCTAGTTTAGCAAAAAATAACTTGTTTTGTTTTTTCAAAGTTGCAGTACGTTTCCAGGATAAAATACAAATTCATGACATTTCAGGAGTTATCCAGGCCTCCCTTAAAACTCAAGGAGTTTTACAGGTCTGTGCGAACCATGTATTGCTATATTAAAAACAAAATTAAAGAAACCAAAGAAAGTTTAAAGAAAAAACAATCCAACAACAATTACACTGAAATTTAGCTTTAAAAAAGGCAATATTCTAACATGAATATGTTTCAAATATATTTTTGGCAAGATATAAAGAAATATAAAGTGAACACACCTACTGAAATCAAAAGTTTGCTAATAGTGGATGAACTCACATAACCCAAAAACTTTATTTGATTTTTCCTAGCATTGTTTAATTGTAAATTGATTTTTGTATCTCATATATGACAAAACAAAATAATATATACACACACACACACAAATAAAATCTGTAAATAAGCAATTTTGCTTTTAATTAAGCCTAATAACTGACTCATTACAAGCTAATTTGTCTAGAAGGTAAAATAATACAAACATTAAACAAACTTCATCTGTTCAGAACTTCATGATAAAAGTTTGTAAAACCTTTGTAATATATCTAAAATAAATGCAATTTTAAATGAACAGGTCAAAATAGGCAATAGATGCTTGTAGTGCCATGGGTTGTGCATTCTTTGTTAGTAACAGAGATATCTGTTTTTTTCAGAATTTTCATGCAAAGCTACACAAATGGCTACCATCTTTAATTTTAAACTAATATATTAAAGGAAATGCAGTTGTTTAACAGCACCTACATTCAGCCCTTGCCTGACCAAATAGTGTGATGTAACTGTCACCTTTATAGCAAACCCATGGTCCCAAAGTGCACAGTTTATTTTTTTTGTATTCTCAATTTCATGGCTAGTGCACCCTAACCACTCCCAAAGTGCACAGTTTATTTTTTTTTGTATTCTCAATTTCATGGCTAGTGCACCCTAACCACTAGGTCATACCCAGTTCATGTAACTGCAAAGGGACTTTTTTGCATCATTGTATATTGTATCTTTGTTAAAAGGCTGTGTACACTAACCTTCCTTCATTTTGAACTAATGTGCTAGAGGGAAGGATGCTAGTCAACAGCACCCACCACTTACTTCTGGACTATGCTTGTCTAACCAAACTGTGGAATCTGAATATCACCCTTATAATCCAACCACAACCTCAATGTGTAGAGCACAATTTTTTTTCCTATGGTAATGGAATGCAAATGATGGACTCATACATTCAAAGTCCAGCATGCTAACCACTGGGCACACTTGCACTACCTCATTCTAGAGCTATCTTCAACAGTATTGGTTGTGTATACTTTTTTTATCTGCTGTGGTGACATTCTCCACACCAGTGTTTTATTCGAGTGTTATAGTGCTATATGTAATGTGTTTTTTAATAATAGGTAGGCAAACAATGATTTATAAGCAAAAGGAAAAGTTTTATTGATAGTAGAAAATACTACATGTTTCCAAAGAACACTGGTCTGTCTTCTTCAGGGTGCCTACCTATTATTATGTTAATATAATGTGCTTCTTTACTCAAGTGGTTTTTAATGTTTAATGTGATGCCCCACCAACAATAGTGTTCAGGTGTACACCACAATTAAACCAGATCCAGGACTCATGTGTGAAAAAGTCCAAAACTGAGGAAAAGAAACAGTTTCACATTTGACAAAAAACTGCACTTCTTATTCTCTTATGCTCGTATGGTGCATAAACATTTTCATCAAATTGTCTCAATTCAATATTGCACTATTGTGGCAAGCCAGTTAAAGTTGTCTAACTTTCAAGAAATGATTAATACAAAAAGACCAAGTCAGGTAGTAATTCAAATATGAATGCTACAGCTTGATACTGAGAAGTATTCTTAATGAATTTTTACATAGCTAAACATGTAACAACACCACTAGGTTCAAACTAATTTCAGTTAAATATTACATTGAGATTTAAAAAGAACCCAAATCCTTGTCATCCTATAACACACACACACACAACAAAAACAAAAAAAACAACAACAACAACAAAAAACAACTAAATTAAAGTAACATACATAAGATAATAATAAAAAATAAAATAAAAAACTGTGAAAGAAACTTAATGATAGGAAGTCAGGGAGAAAAGATCTGCATGCAATTGAAAGATTGCCCAAACATGTCACCTTAAAAATTCACCGAGTTAAAACTTCAATTTCAACAGATCTTTAGAAGATATACATCTAAACAAACAAGGAAGTGTAAATACCAAAGATATAGTAAATCACTAACTATAAGGAAGCTTTTTAGGCAACTCCTGAGAAAAACATACAAAATTTTGTGATTATTGTTAGGCTCTTAATTTATCTACAAGGTACGGCAGAACTCCTTACTGATCCAACAAAAGTGAAAAACATTATATCTCAATTCTATGCCATAGATGAAAGTTAATGCCAGTGGCAGACAACGAAATAAGTCTATTAAACATAAGTAACTCAGATTAGAGGTGAAATACACAAGTAAAACTCTGAAAATCAGTTTCTTCTTGCTCAATAGAATGTTGAAATACTCATTATTATTTCGTTGGGTAAATTGAGGTTTTTGTTAACATTATAATTAAGACTAAACATCAAAGTGAGCATTTTACATATATATGCAATAAAACACCAAACACATGTTTTCTTTCACCAGTAGCCTTATAATAGGCACCATTGAGTGTCAAATCCCATACATGATTCTAAAATGCTAATTTTTTGTGATTACTAATTCACTCTTACGTTTATGCATTAATGAAACCTCTTTTAAACATGAAAATAATTTCACTAAAATCATTAAAGTTGTGTTTATTCTTTCTGTGGCACACTGCTTGGTTCTGATGCCATCTAGACACAACCCATTGTTTTTTTTTCCAGCAATTCCTTTCAGGCCAGTTCTAATAATTTAGAAGTTTCTCTAGCCCTGGCACTGACATAGATCAGAATTTAGCATCCAACTGTAGTCAAATCATTTACTATTGAATTCAAAAATATACATACATGTGACATTACCATAAAATAGCAAATTTAAAGACAGCTAACTTAATAAAAAAAATAACTTTTGACCTTTTTGATACTCATTTAGAAATAATTAACATATTAGCTGAAGTCAAATACAAAAGATAATTTAATACATGTTTTAACAGACAATAACAATTATTCATTTATACCTTCCCTTATAAATATGGAACAAAGACAAACAAAAACAACAGGAAGAGCAGATCTGGACAGTAGAAATGAAAAAACAATTGAATACTATGTATAAATATATATATATATATTAAAATGCACATACATTTGCTTTACTTAATAAATCTAGTTAGTACAAGTAATTGGCTAAGGTACACAAATAGACATGAAATTAAACTTTTAAGTATATTTTAATCATTACTTATCTGTTTTATATTCAAAATTACTTATTCTCTATGATCCTAACTTATCTTTATTGTATATCTACATTCTCAACGCTCAAAAAAATTTTGAACTTGTGTTTTCATCAGGGTACAGTGTAATATAAAAAACAGAATAATAAAGTCAAAATAATGATATATTAGCCCTTTCCGTGAGTTGTCCGAGGTAACTTAAGCATCTTCCATGTTTCACAAAATATTTGTCCAGGTTAATTCGATCAAACCATTTCTTACTGTATTTTCAATTATTTGCCTGAATTTATTCACATGTTATCATGTATTACAATCTGTATAGTTTTGTGGAATGATTGAGATGAGGTGTTAGTATTACTAATGGTATAATTATTTGGGCTATTATTCTCGTCTTTATTACGTCTATTATTATTTTCACAACTTTTCGACAGTGACAGCCAAGTGGTTAGAGTGCCTATATTTGGGATCATAGGTTTGGGGGTTCAAATCCTGGTAATTCCATAACAACAAAAAAGCTTTCTGGTTGTGATGCATACAAAATGTCTGGCATAACACCTGACGACGACCAGAGAATTCACTGGTTGTAAAGTTGTGAAAATAATAATACACATAATACAGATGAGAATAACAGACCATTAATAACATCACAATCAGTGCTCACTAGATGAAATTGGAAAAGCTATCTGTGCTGATCTCTATCAGATTTATTCTGAATTATGTATCATAAACACTAGAAAAAAGCATTCTTATTCTTGCTGTAGTTTCATTGAAATATATATCACATATAAATCTAGATATGTAATATTTATTTACCTAGTATATTTTGTGTAGAAATATAATAACAGATCATAAAAAAGGTTTTGTATAGGCTATCAAAAAGCAAAATAAGAAACCTGACTTTTTTTAGCTCATTTCCAAAAAAAAGCTTGACACAGAATGGGTTAAAGTGTTACTTTTTTCTGAAGCTGAAAGTAATTTCAAATAATTTACTTTAATTAGCATTTCACACATCAACAAATTATCTAGCATCTTAGTTTTACACCCTCATTCATTAAACAGCATTACTGAGTTATTTTCACTACCAAAGATTTGATATTAAGATAACATTACCAACCTTTCAGTAATTTTAATGATACATTGCAGGCAAGTGCAAGTAAAATTTTTTTAGGAGCCTTAACAGCCAATTACTGATACATAATCATGCAATACATCATATGAGCAACTGGTTACTGACAGTAACTATACCCAAGAAAATTAATAAAATTAAGAAAGTCCTCAAAATGTTATGTAAAAGCTATGTCACTGTAAGAATCTAAACTGAAATTTATTATAATTTTTGGGTGTTTAGGTAAAATAAAAATAATCCTGATAAATCAAAAGTTAAAGAAACTCATCAACTTCCATCACAAACAAAATATGACATGGTATGCAAATTATCATCTTAGTTGCTTACCTCTTTACTTTGAGGAGATAAGGGTTCTGGGGGAGTCTGAACTTTTGTTGGACTGGTAGTAGTCTGAGCTTGTGGAACCGGCTGTGACTGCTGCTGAGAAGATGGGAATGTATGACCATCTAAAGAAAACAAACAGCATATATCAGTATAAATTATAAAAAGTTGTTCATAATTTTAATAATCGGAAATTACACTTATTTGTGATTAATGTAAAATAGGTATCTCAAAATGAGGTGAATTTGTCCTGTATCGGATATACAGATGATACAAATGTTACATGTATTAAGAATGTATTTTCATTTCTTTCTACAATAAATCTATCAGCAAACATGCATATACACACAAGAAAACAGATGTGAAAATGTTAACAGTTAAAACTGTTAAGATAAGTAATTTGTAAATTTCTGATCAATACTGTAGTTAGTTCAGAAAATTCTGTTATATATTTTTAAACTTTACAATGATGATTTTTCTACTGACCTGGAAATCAAGTATGCTGTTGGTATTATAATAGAGGAAATATAAAACATTTAGAAGGTTCTAGAGGTTCTGGAAATGAGGTTTATTTTCATCAACAAAAGTTAAGTAGTTTTAGTACAGTAGTCTTGTCAAAATCTGTAGGTAGATACCCAGGGACTGGTATTAATCATGCTTATAGCTTATTAGCAGTTTTGTATTTTGTTGCATATATATATATATATGTACAACAGATTAGGATTAAAAAAATAACTGCTGTACCTCAAAATGTCTATCATATCAAATGAAAATGTCTTTAAAAAATAACTAAAAAAAGATGGAAATAAGGATATGAGTCTTATGTGAGAATAATCAATTAGCAAATTCTACTAATCATCCAGCTCTAGCTAATGGATTTTTCAAATACCAGTAAAACCTGTGTTAGAAAAACATGGCCAAAAAATTATGTATGAACTAAAACTTTCACAGCAAGCCTTTGAATTGACAAATATACACATTCTAGGAACAAATATGGCTAGTATTATTCTCCACAAAAAGGCAATCTAAAGGTGTTTTTTCTTTTAAAGTTTGTAGTGCAGCGTGGACAGAAATATACACACATTCTAAAACCTCAGCAATATATATTTACAGTGATAGTACTTATAAAGCTACATTACATACATAAATGTGTGTCTACATATAAAGCAATATTTGAATGAGATATTTCTAACTAAATTAAACACCAAGCAAAACTACTTAATTTTCTTTCAGTTGGAGAAAAAAAAGTGATGCTCTACATTATTAATAAGTACACACACAGGTAAAAATAAGCCAACCTTCAGCAGGCTTCTTAGGGATCCTTGGAACCAGAGAAGAGGGCAAGGTTTCTGGCAGGTCAATATTGTTTCTTCTCAAAACTACTAAATGCATTGCTGTACAAAATTCTTCTAATGTTAGAGCTCCATCTTTATCTATGTCTGACAACTGCCTAACATTAAAAAAAATGATAAAAAATACAGTTTTTTATTTCATTAAAATATTTCTGGAAGTATCTGTTAATTGATCAGAAAATAAACTAAATTTTTATTCAAAATTTTTCAACTGAGGCAGTCTTGCTCCATGAGTAACACAAACTAGGGCATTTTTATGAATATTGTTTTATCTACAGGAATAGCTTATCTAAGTTATATATATTGGTAATCTATATAATTACAATATTATGTAAAAAAAAGAAACTGCTGTCTGCTTTGAAGAAAATAAAACATCACTTTTGTGAAATTACATATCACTTTCAAATTAATTTTGAAATCACTGTTTTTGAGGAAGGGCTTTTATTTTAGGCCCATAAAATGGTTGTACATATCTGTAAAAACATATGTGTTTTCACTCTACCTTCCACTTGCAACATATATTATAATCCATACTATCTCTAAACCACATTACAAAGATGATGAAAGGTTTTACTGATAGAATATAACATTAGATCTCTAACAAAATATTGTTAACACACAGATGTATGGTACTTTTGATTGTAAAAAAGAAGCATGTATACAGCATGCCTTCAAATATGTTTGTAAGTACTCACCAAATTTTTGATAGTTCATGAACTGGTAATTTGGACTTTTCAAAAAATTCTTTTGCTGTAGCACCTATAAAATAAAATGTGCACATTTTAAATCTTGCATTATATACTTCAAAGTTTCACAGGCAAATCACAAAATAAAATGATTTACTCTTCCTATACAATATATTTAAAAATATAATCTAACATTCGAAAATGAATTCAGCCATTAGCAATATATTTCAACACAAAAATTAACACACTTCATAACTAATATTGATATGCTGATTAATCACAATTGGCCAATATTATCTAAATAATTGGATGATTATTAACAAGAAGAAAAAAAAGTGAATTTGAAACAGAAATAAGAACAAATTCATCTATGTGCTATGTTAGTGTTTTTCTTATTTTCATATCAGTCTCATATAAATTAGAATAAATTCATCTATACTGTTAGAAGTTGGAGCAAAACTTAAACCTAACGATAAAACATTTTCTTCACAACTGTTAAAAACCTTCACTCAGATTGACAGCAGACTGTTTTTTTTAGTGTGGAATGATATGACGTTTTCTTATGGTTTGTTCTCATTAGGGTTTTAAATTTCTTAATTTGTTTCTCTTTTACAATGTTAAATTTCATAACAGTACCAATTAACTATTTGACTATTGGGCTAGGTGCATTGCACCTACTACGTAATCACCAAAGTAACCATGAGAGCAGTCAGTCATATTATAACTTTTGATAATGTATGTGTATCTTCACGGAATTTTGCAGATTGTCTGTGAACATTCCAAGGCTTTCGTACAAAAAATATCAGGTTTAAGATTTTATAATTAAAGATTTGCCCATGAATGTTTTTCTTTCAGAATGTTGTCTATCCAACATGCAAAGTAATTTTGACTTTAAGATTAAAAATACTTTTCTTCATCTAAAAATTGTCAAATTTCATTTGTGTAATCTCAAATAACCTCCTAAATATATATCAAACATTCCTTTTTAGAAAAACTTTATATTTTATAAGTTATTTTAACTACCTTAACTCTATACTGCATTGGACAATTTGACTAACCTTGTAATCACTTTAAAAAAGTAGGAAATAAATCTAAATTACCCTTTTTTCTTTCTAGAACGACTACAAAATGTAAAAGGAAACCACAAATGTTTATTCTAAACAGTTTAAATCTCATAAAAGTATACATTTATTTATATCTATTAATCTTTTGATTCCAAATTCATGGATATACAGGGTGTCCCAGAAGTCTGGACCCATGGGAAAAATACACAGATTATTCTTTATTTATTTATTATTCAAATTGCATAACATTAACAGCCATACACATATCAGTTCTTGGTATACTGTGCCATCAGGGTTTTTTGCTTTCCTGAAATATGTACAACTGACAATAGAAATATGTTTGCTTAGCTTTAAGAATATAATGTCTATTTTCCCCTATGGGTCTAGACCTCTGGAACACCCTGTACATTCATAAAATAGTAATTTAATACAATTTTGAATGTAAGTCTACAAAATGTGATGACATGCTCTGACCCCCTAGGAAAAAAGGTTAACAAACCTGATATTTTCCCTTTGACATCTGTTTGCATACACTGAAACTGTGTGGTATAATATTCTCTCTGTTCACTAGTTATCGTCCAAACATCAACTTCATCATCACTGGAATGTCGTTCACTACTGTCTTCCTCAGTTCCCAAGAGCTGATGATGCTCTTCAAAATTAGCCCAATTAAGATGACTATCTGGAATTTCAGAAAACAAAACAAAAATGTTGTTCTATCTTGTGCATTCACATTCCCTTAGCAAAAAAATTAAATTAATAGTTGATATTTATTCAAACACTTTATGTATAAACAAAGCACATCTATGTTAAAAACATACAATACTAATCTCTATATCTCATAAAGCCAAATTATTATTGGTTAAAACAACATATTTTTCATTTTTTGTCTTTTCTAATCGATACCCCTACTTATGCTCAAGTAACAATAATTCACGTTACTGGTTCACCTGCTAAATCTGCAGAGAATGTATGTCATACAACAATCACATGAGATCCTAAACTGTTTTCTCTGTGTGTAGTTAAAAGGTAAGAGCCAGAAAAAGGCAAAAAAGCTTGAACAGCTTACTTAGAAAACAATACTTTTAAAGTCAGAAAGCTTTAGTTGAAATACAGTTTTTTCCAGATAAAACATCAGAGAATGAAGCAAAAAAACGAGTTATTAATTCTTCTAGAAGAGAAATCACTTCAACCCATGCAAAATTTATAATTTACAAGAGGCAAAGGAAAAACAAGTTAAATCAGAGACAACAAATTAATTTTTTATACATCACACAGCAGAAAAACTTATAAACAAATTGTACAAAACTTAGCAAAACTCTCTAAATAGTATCTAGAGTTTACTTTAAAAATTCATATAATTTACTATTTTTATCACTTTTTTAAGTTTTAAAATATGCAAAAAAACCTAACTCCATCTCAGAATTTAATTCTTTATATTATTGATGAAAAAGTTTTATTTTATATATTTAATCAGTTTCAACTTGTTTGATATTCAGTTAAATAACTCTTTTGATATTTTATTTCACCAACTGAAGCAGTCAATGCTTCTGGCTGTCATAAAAAACATGGCAAAAACTGACTTACGATCCCACATATCATAATGATATCACCATTACAACATTCTTGGACAATACCAAATATATATCCAATAATTTTGGTTTATCAAATAAGCTACTTTATTTGTGTGTGTTGCTTGAATAAGATAAAATTAATATTAAAATTTACTAAAAAAAAGAATTTGGGTCATCCAAATAGTTTGGTGTCAATTGTACTTGTAAAACCCAACTAAACCCAACTGATGTCTTAAAATGGGAGAAAATACCCACAGTTTTCAAACCGATATAATTTAAAACAAAAAAATTTCAAGAATGTAAAGGATGTCAAATAAAACTATAAATAAATTCCCAGATCTGTAATTTGTTCCTAAGTGTTGTGAACTACAACATTAGAATCCTTTGTTTACACCTATAGGAACTCTGGGTAGCCAGTATGTCAAGAAATTGTAAATTATAGCTAAAACCACTTTATTCACCTTATATTGACAAATACATTAGGATCTCTTCAATTCAAATGTTTTTAGTCATGGGCTTTAGTTATTTTTAAAGCTGAGCTTCAATGGTAATTGTTCAGACCACATGCTGTGTTATCATAAAAGGGTGGCAATGTGATATGCAGATATACCTAATGTTTTCTGACTTCTTAAGTTATATAGGAATTTTTAAAATTTGCTTATCTAGTTTCTATGCAGTTTTAGCATGAACACGTGGTCCAGAGAGTCATTAAGATTGCCTTATTCTAGTTGTTTTATTTCTTTGTTCTCTACAGCAGATGTCTATTCAGCCCAAAAGTATATTATAGTAACATATAGCATCTGATTGTAACATCTTTTACTGGCATAAGTGACATTGTCCAAATGTTAAACTACAGTTCACCAATACCGTGAAAGGGCAAAGGTCATGAGGTGATGCTGTCAAATGAACAAAGAAACTGAGGTTACCTGCTAAATTCAAGCACTCTTTCTTAGTTCAATCCTACTAGGAGATTGTTCAGTGGAAACCGTACTTAGTTCTATGGAGATAAATCTTGAGAGAATGAAAACTATTAGAAATTCAACTGTGATTCTGTACTTGAAAGTATGTACACTATGCTTTCTTATCGATAGTCTGTTAATAAAGATTGTGTTCATTTTTGTTATATTCATCCAGTCTTGTTATATCACACACACGCACAATAAAACTCAGTTAAGTTTCAGATTCAGAACACTATCCTTATTTCCTGAGTGAATCTGCCGTTATCAGTGAGTCTAAACATCTGATACATGTTGGGAAGACAATTTTTACCTGAAAATACTACAACAACATAAACAGCAGTAAAAAAGAAATGGCAAAGAATGAAAATCATGAAACAAACAAAATTTGAATTATATTTTTAAAGAGATGACAATTTCTTAGTAAACATGCACTTATATTTTGAGATGAATAAAAAATGTAAAAAATTTATAAATGTATTGTTTACAGGCAAGACTCCTTAGACCTGCATGGAAATGAATATAGGGAAAATAATTTAGTTTTTTCTTTCTGAGTTACACTAAATAAATGTTATACAATAACTAGAAAACTCATGGACCTATGGCCCACATTTATAGGGCCACTAAAATGAAAATTTAATTTCTTAAACCAAGTTACAAACAGTAATTAATGACCAGAAAAATCTATCTAGGCAAGAATAAGACACATAAAATATATACAGACAAAATAACATCACCTTGATGAAGACCATGGTGAAATGCTGTCCAGTTTTTGTCTCCATGCTGAGCAGCCTTTGGTGTAGTGGGTGTTTCTGCTGGTGAGGAGTTTCCAGAATTTCCTGTTGCTGCCACTGGAACTACTGTAACAACTACTCCTTGGGACTGGTGGAAAAGTATTTAGGTATTGAATATTTTAAGCAACTATTACATTTTCACATCAACTTTTACAATGCTGATTACACAAGCCCACAAATTTAAACTTCATAAAAGTCGTTTTGGTTTTCATAACAGATTTTCCATAGTTCAGCTATGCAACATACAAAAACAATATACATTTTTTTCTATCACATAAGAATTTTGTACAAATCGGGAAGGAAAAAAAATCATACTTAGATCAAATTATTATTTCGTTTACCACAATGAACATTTTTTATAATTATGTTTGTTAACAAGAATACAAACAAATTGAAGAAAAGGAAATAACACTGATGTCAAACAACATGCATCCTTATCCATCCTGATTTTTTATGTGAAATATACATCTTTTAGTCTCAAAAATATGTGTTGTGGTCTTTCTCTCTAATGTATTGCCTCTGGATCATCTAATTTCAATGACCAGAAGTAATCAGCCATCATGCTGATGGTCTACCTTCCCTGATATCTCCTCTTCATTTCCCTGATGTTGTGATAAAAACTTTCCCCTTGTTCTTCACTGATGGGACCAAGATTTTCAGGGAAATAGTCAATATGTGAATGTAAGAAATTAACTTTCTAGCTCATATTACAACCCAACTTGTTGAATTTATCGAGCATGTTATTGACAATATTTTTGTAATCTGTGTCCTTGTTTCCTAAAAATTTGTCAATAACATCTTTAAAGGCAATTCATGCATATTTTTGAACTTTCCTCATTGTCCTTTCAAACTGTTCATCTGAAGTCATTTTCTAATCTGAAACCCAATAAAAATCCCTTCTTTAAGTTTGCTTCTGAAAGAGCTGGGAATTGGCTTCATAGATATTTGAAACAGTTGTCATCTTTGTCTAAGGTCTTTACAAACTGCTTCATCAAGCCCAGTTTTATGTGAAGTGGAAGTAACAGGACTTTCTTTATGTCAACCAAACTTTCACATTCAATTTTTTTCGATCCTGGTATCAGGCTGGACCTGCGTGGCCATTGCTTCTTTATCCAGTGCTGATTTCGTGCTCTGCTGTCCCATTCACACAAAAACATGGAAGCTTTGTATAACCAGATTGTCAAACCAATAACATACAAAGGACTTTTAAGTCTCCAAATAGTAGCCATGTTCTTTGTATTTTACCTCATTAAGAAGTTCAAGATTTTTGTATGTTTCCTTCAAGTGAACTGAATGAACAACCAGGCACAGATGTATATATGTTACCATTGTAAAGGAGAACACCTTTCAGACTTCTTTTGGAAGAACCAATGAACAATTGACACTCACTTAGTTCATAGACTGTAGCTCCTAGCATTGGTTTTAATCCAGCAATATTATTGCAATAAACCAGTGAACCTTCTTGCAAAAAGTATGGTATAAACTCTTTCTCTCAATTTCTGTACTACCAGTAAAATGATTTCCCTGGAGAAAGTACTTAGCCCAAAGTCTGGACCAAAAAATCTCTAAAGAATCTTTTGGAAGGCCCAAATCATTAAGTTCACCTTGTGTGAAAAGTTGTGGTTCACCAGACATTTCAGGTTCAAAACAATCCCTATCATCATTTCCTTTGACATCAGATTCAGAAACAGATGAAACTGTATCAAGAGTCTCCAGTGGAGTAGGTACAGGTACATCAGGTCTTATAGCAGATTGAAGGTTTGGATAAGAAATTTCCTTTTTATTTTGAGTATTGTAGCCTTGCACGTTACCTAACCAGAAATAGCAGTCATCTCCATGGTTTCTAGGCTCATGCCAGACCACTGGAATTCCAAAAGGCAAAGACTTTTTCTTACCTTTAGTCCATTGTCTCAACTCTTCAACACAAACACAATTTGTCTTGGTGCCCAAGTTTTATTCCAAAATACACATAATATGCTTTTTTTGATGAATTCTGTAACAACAGAATATATTTGGGTCACTTACACAACCCCCTGTTGTCAGAGCAAGGAATAAATAATATTGTAAAGAAATGTCAATGTGCATGCACAAACAAATGCTATCCAGAAATGACACGTCATACAGCCTGTTAACCAATTATATACTAGAGGTGTGTTTCTTGTTGAGTTTTCACTCATGCTATCAACAACACATGCAACTCAAAATTTGATGACAAAGAACCCACTTTAACACAATAAAGTCTGAAGATGTCTTGGATGGATAATGAAGAAAACTTTATAACAAGTTTAACATAGTAGGAAATGTACAATGTTTTAACAAGGTTTTATTGTACCTGATGTAATAAAGTATTCTTTGTTACCCATTCAAGCCATCTTCAAACTCTATATGACTCAACATCTGAATGACCTTTATATATCGAAGAGCATGCATTACCCATAATTCCCCACTCTCCTCCCATAATTCAGAATTTATTGAAGCCACTCATCCATAGAATGATGGAAATTGATATGGAAAGTGTGCAGAAGACCAGCAAGTACTATGACTACACAAGGGAAGACATAAGGTGCTGAAGCCAGGTTGAAAGGATGAGCCATGAACTGATAACGAAACCCAGAAAATAATATCAAACAAATTTGAAGATTGGTGAAATGGGACATTAAATAAATGACAATAATATCTAGTTTTGTTATCCATAAAATTCTTGATGGAGAAATTTTTGTAAGGTTCACAGTTTATATCATAAAATGAGGAATGTCTAAATAACAATTCAGCTGGGAAAGATCATTACCAATCTCTTTATTTCATTGGTATGAATAGAAATCTGGGAAAACATGAAGTAATGTTTCAATAGCCCCTTTCTATAAAAGGTTTGAAACTTCTTGATCCAATCTTCCAATACAAATTGGATCAGATGGAAGAGGAAAAGAAACTGAAAAAGTAAAAACTGGAGGATGATAATGAAATTGGGTAGAAAATACAAACTGGAAAATTTGAAACCCAAAGATCATAATGTCAAAGGTTCAATAAATGAAAAATTATCAGTAATGAATTCCTAAAAGTTTAGGTATTTACTGAGAATAGGCTGATGTAGGTAAGGCAGAAGACAAACATTACTACTGGACACCTTGACAATGGGCAATGACCAAAAGCAAAACAAGATATTAAAATCCTAATCAACTCTTCCTGGCATGCCTCTCCTGAACAGAAAGACAGTTTGGGTGAAATACCTGCAAAGACAAACCTCTTTTGAACTTAGAAAAAACAGAGAGGGAGGGGATGAGTACCTGCAAATACAGCACAAAGAGCTAGTGTCAAGGGAACACAAGAGCCACACTACAAGCAGACTGCATTATTTAAGCCTTCAAAAACGTTGTAAAAGTTCTGATATCTGTATTAGAATGAAAATTGACATTCAAATTCATTGTAGAAAGGTTAATGTCATGACTGTTGATAAGAAAACCTGAATTACAGTAGGAAAGCAGAGCTTATGTACCATTCTTTGACACCATGCATAATAAGTGGAAAATTATGAGTAAGTTACACATGCTCTGCAATGTGTAAAGAACATTCAGAATTTTGGAGTCACATTTTGTTCACAGTAAAAGTGCAAACTCAACAAGAAAAAACATAATATTCCAATTTAAAAAAAAGAACACTATATTTTCCTCAAGTTATTTTGCTTGAGGTGTCTAATCTCACTTCAGATTTATATGTATGTCTAAACAGAATACAAAACCACATAAAATTTTATCACAAAAGTTATAGAAGTAAGGTTAATGAGAGCTGTTTCTGAAAAAAAAAGAAAGAAACACAGAGCTCAATCTGTAGTAAATACATAAAATACAAACAACTATTTAGAAGTATTTCTTTACCTATATTAAACCAGGTTTAACCATTATGTGAGGATCAGTGCATTAAAAACAGAACAAGTACTGAATGAGTGTTGTTTTTTTTCCATCTAGAATTAAATTTACAGGATGCTTCTCATTCAATCTGTTTTCATTGAACACGGTAAAAGAAAAAGTCACAAAAAGTATCAATAAATTTAAATCTCTAATATAGAAAAAAAATCTTACTTTAATTTGTAATGTTAACTTCAACTTCAAACAAATTTTCAAACACAAACTAACCTTGAACTCCAGAAAAAACTTCACTTAACTCTGTCAATACAAGGTCAGTCAATGTGACAACCTCGTAACCATTTTGTACTTGTTATAGTTTTCATGCTATAACTTTTAAATTAGTAAGTGAATATTAATGAAATTTGGCAGATTATAAGTAAACATTACAATGCTTTCATATGCAAAATATCTAATTTTTCTCTTAAGTCATAAGGTTTGTAAAGCAATGTTGCTCTCATGTCTTTTTTTTTTCATTTCACATCTTGCCTATCTATCACAAAAAGTAATTTTCATTTTAAGATCAAAAATACTTTTATGCATCAGAAAATTTTGAAATTTCATATGTGAAATCTTTATAATGTCCGGAAAGTTATCAAAAG